TAACCCAAAACAAAACATGGTACTGGATTCGGACCGAGTCAAAGGATGCTAAATTTCCAGTTGCAAGATTGGAGCAGTCAGCCACTGGTCTGTGTTAGTTTTTGTTAAAATTTGACTAGCCTAAACCTGGACACATGTAGGAGGGATCAGCGTATTTGTGATAAGAACATTTGCAATGACTTTTCTATGAAGGGTTGGGATATTACTTTTACTTTTAAAGAATAAATATATTTGGTTTTTGATGAAAAAAATCTTCTTCTGTTAAGCCAAAACCGTAATTTTTTTATTAAATGAATGAAATTAAACCTATAATTTTTTACCACCGTGAAAGATAATAATGGTGGGTATTTAAGACTGAAATCATTTAATTTTACTTTGAAAAAAGCATGAAATTATTAAATTAAGATGAGATGGAATATTGACGAGAAGCATGATTCTATTAAACATAACAATAATATCTTCACAAATCAATTGTCATGTCATGTTGCAACATTAATGGTTGCTATGTGACTCAATTTAATTTGTTATGAATTTTTTTTCTTCCCTATTAACCATAGTATTTGTCATTTAACAACCTAACCAAGATTTTTTTAAAAAATTTTCTACTAATTAACATTAAAATTTTTTTTCTCCCTCATTGGTTAGCTTAGATGTCCTTATAATCACACGTGGATCCACATTAGCAAATTCCAACGACTAATTTATAGTCAAGGGACGCCAGGCAAATATTTTACTATCCAATTCCCTTGTAAGGAAGGAGTCGACTCATGAATCCCCAACCAAAATTGCATTATTCATAGAATTGGAAAATCAATTTTGTTTGAGAGCCATGCCTAATATACAGCATGCTCATTTATTAATTAAGAGAATGTTATTATTTTTACAGGTCTTATGTATCCCCTAAGATGTTTCGTTTTAATTTACATATATCAAATTAAGTTTACTTATTTACTATAAACTATTTACATTATTATTTAGCTTCAGATAAAAATATATATATATATATTACAATGTTGATTAAAGTATCTAGAAGATAGGAAGCATAACTTTACTACCAAGAAAAAGAATGCTAATTATATAATTTGCTATTCTATTATATAATTGTGTTGGTTCAGAGACACCCATAAAGTTCTGCAGACGTATTGCGTATTTTATCAATCACACCAAGCAATTCATTTAAGAGTAGGATTCAAGCAATTATGCATTTCTCAATTGTAACACCAATGATTTGCAGATTTTGTTGGATTAGACCAACTACTGAGATTATGGTTTGGTGCTTAAAAAGGCAGATTATCTGAACTGAATTAGTAGGCAAATTATTATGACCTTCTGGCATGGATAGAGAACCAAAATTGTAGTGGTTTCTTATAGGAAGAAGAAAGATCATAGAACATGAATCAATTTCAGGGATTCTCAGAATTTGGATCCATTTTTTCTTTCTGAAGATGATCAAGTAAATTCTAAGATTATTAACATTATTTAAAGCTCATATGTGGCATATTGTTTCCAAGCAGTAAGGCATTGTATTACAAGTTATATATAGTCTTGGAGCATTTTATTAACTCAACAATTTATTGTGTCAAGATAGCTATATAAGTGGAACAGTGAAGCTTAGGCAGTCTTTAATACCTCAACAAAATAGCAGGGCAGGGAAATGAAGCAAAATTTTTACAGAAAAGAGCTCCTATGATAGGAGGGTTAGCCCATGGCATACTTCTGGGTCCAGCTCCGGGTTGTGGATTCATACTTGACTTTGTCAGTCTTCCACATATGAGCAATCTCAGGAACTAGAGGGTCATCCGGGTTTGGGTCTGTTAGAAGCGAACAGATGGAGAGTAGAACCTGCAGGAGGCATATCTGTACATGTCAGTATCATTTCACATGTTAAAACCCCCTCAGGTTTTGGTTAGCAAAATGGCCTAGTCAGGTTTACTACCTTAGATATGGTGAGTGCAGGACTCCATTGTTCTTTGAGTATGTCTAAGCAGATATTTCCATTGCTGTTTATGTTTGGATGGAATACCTTGGTCCTGAAGGCAACCTGAAAGCAATTAATAATTGAGGGAAAATATTCAGATTGATCCTCCACAAGTGTTTCAAAGACAATGAATTTTCCCTTTTTGGAGCTTGATTTTCTTTGATATCTATACCTTGGGAGGTTTGAAGGGATAGTCAGGTGGGAAATGGATGGTAACAAGGAAGACACCACCGGCATAGGGACTGTCGTTAGGACCAATGATGGTTGCTTGCCAATGGAACATATCCTCAGCCACCGGACCTAATAAAATGCAGAAAAAACAGTTATTCAGCATGAATTTGGAGTGCCAAATGCCAATGGAACTAGCTTTTATATCTCTTCAAACACTTTTACCTGCACTGCATGAAGTTGGGGGGTCTCTCTGCAAATCCTTAAGCTCCTTCAGTATTCTCTTTAATGCCATTGGAGACACAGCTTCAGAAAGTTGGAGATCGGTATTCGCCAGGAAGAATGAAACAGGATATGTACACCTTCCAGTAGGGGATGGAAGATGGTGGTGTATTTAATAGAAGACATTAAGGTGGAAGTGACAAAGCTGTCCACCAATTCCTTTCATATACTGGAGAAAAGTTGGCACAGCATAAGTTCCAGGGATAAGAAGCAAGTAAAGAATCATGGATTTCTTCCACTAGATTGGAATTCAATCACTTACTAAAGATTTGAATAAGAGGCAGCATCTTTTTTCTTGATCTTCCCAAGGTCAATGAACCATGGAATAATCCAATTCTTTTAACAGAATTGATTTACCTTTCTCAGTCAACTGTTTCATTCCAAATTATAAAATTAATGATGCTTATAGTGATCATTATGGCAAGAAGCATTACATGTGAATGACAGAAAGACAAATCGAGGACTCTTGTTCAAAATGGAATCCTGCTTTTAAAGGGATGGCTTCAATTTCATTGAATAGCATCTTCCAGGGCCACATCCGTGGATATCTTGAAAAAGGATAGGCACCAACGACAGGAAAAGGATTCGTTCTTAGCAAGATTGACTTGTGAGGTTTATTGGTTGAGAATCTAAGAAAGCAATGAAACTGACAGGCGACTGTAGGATGCAATATCTCCATTAAGGTACTATCACAAAAAAAAAAAAAAAAAAGGAAAAAACACCCTCCGTTAAGGTGATGAAAAATTAAGGACTCAGAACAAAGCACAAACATGTTCGAAATTCCCATTTAGTGTGCTAAATCAGATTACATCACATGATACAAGAGAAAACAGTGGTTTCTCTCCCAGAAGTCTTCCACTTGCTAGTCAAGAAATCATGCAGATAGAACACCATGGGAACTCCGAGGGTGGTTCCATGTTAACACAAATGGTACTAACCATCATATACAGATTCAGATAAAATCCAGAGAGGGAGATTCATAGAGACATAGACTTCAATGTTTAAAGAGGAAGAGAGAGAGGAAGAGAGATCCCTATTTTTTTCCAGCTGAGACTACAAACCATAGAGTTGTCTCCTTGAGTTGAAAGTAGGTAAGAGACATGGTGAGATTAAATAGCTACTTGCGTCATGCCTTTCTCACGGAACTCTCTATTTCAAAGATCACAATATTGAGCAGGCCTTGTGTGCCTTTCTCTTCTTTTTCTTCTTCTGCTTGGGTGGCTGGAGAACCACCTGGATGGCCGCATCAAAGACAGCTTTCACATTCTGTGTTTTCATGAGATAATTAACAGGGAATATTCAAATAAAACGCATCTCAAGACAAATTTCAAATTTCCCTAAGACTTTATGTTGATATATGGTTTTTCCTTTTTTTGGATGGTGCAAATATGAATGGTGTTTTATGTACCTGCTGTGTCTTTGAACTACACTCGATGTAAACAGGAGCTCCAATTAGCTTTCTCAGTTCCTCCCCCTTTCAAGGCCAACAAAATCAATCAGGATCCCATGTTCTTGATTGAATTGATGTTTTAGCGAAAAACGTAAATAGTGGCAAAGCAATAGTATCATAAAAAGCAAAGGTGGTTATAAGTGAGCACCTGAGCCGTGGTAATGGGCACTGCACCAGGGTGATCTATAAAGAATTGCTTATCATCCCGGAGATCTACAATAAGAAAGTTTAACTTCCATTAGAATTGAGGACATTGGATGGGATAAAAGGTAAGGACTGAATAATGACATTAATCACACCACCATTGTATTTTCATCCAAAAGGTATTGCATAAGAACACAAATGATATGCACACTCCCAAGTTATTGTAACATAGAAAATGATAGTTAAAGGTTAATTAATAACTTGTCCCCTGTCTGGTCAACTTCACAACAAAGTTAGAAGAGCATGACAAAAATCATAAATATCAATCTAAGTAAACTAGATAATAGACTTTGAAATTTGTATGACTCGTTAATTTAGAAGAAAAATAATTTCATTTGGTTCCAATATGCCCTGCAGACAATCAAAAGATTGCTACTGCATCGTTTTCCTCAATTTTTTCTGCCATTGCTGTTTCTGACATTCAAAATAGCCAGCTTTATTCCCAACCAAAGTATCTATTTCACATGGGGTTGTCCGCTAAACTAGTTCCAATAAGAAAATTAAAGAAATTCTGTAATCAATGGTGGAAAAAATTATAAAATTAAGCAAAAACAATAGTGGGCCCTTCTGTGGTTCTCTATGCAAATTTGGGTTAGCTTTCTCTTTCTCTTTTTGCATTTTCTTCAAATGTCTCCATCCTAGGAGATGAAAATTCTATCAGCATCTCAAAGCACTTGTTCACGTGAACACATTTTGTTCTTATTATACTGTACTCAGATTTCCTCTTCTTCTTGTTCCTTTTTTTTTTTTTGGTATGATCCTTAGTAATGCTAAATAGTAGTTCCATTAGGAATGATCATAGAAAAGATCATGATAAAAAATCTTAACAAATAACATTTAACCACTAATATAAAGCACCAATTTGCTTGTGATTGTGAATAAGAAAACACAAACATTTTGGAACAGAACCATGTAATATACGGAGCTGAGGTGGATTTAATTGACAAGAATTGGACCTACTGAGCCTTTCTTTCCATTTCCAATACATTATACATATAGAATGCACTGACTTTAGATTTCAGCAACTCTGAACAGAACTTAGGCACTATTACTGTTCTCTATTTTTCCTTTTTCAGGGTACATACAATGTTTAGAGGCAAATGTAAAAGCATATAATAAGATGATGTCAGCAGCAGCTTCAGGAAGTATGGATCACTACAGTTGTAGTGAAAATATCATGCACAAAAAACTCAAAGGAAATAAGGAGGAAGGATTGGGTCAGAACACGGGCACACGAACCATTATAGTTGCGATCATTAGACAAGCACTAGAAGAAAATTCTCAAACATATAAGATAGAGTTGTGTGAGCCTATGAATTTTTATTTCAGTACCAAAATTTAGTCTTTTTCGTTTTAGAATAAATCATATCCCAAAAAAAAGAAGTGAGAACAAAGTCACAATGGAAAGTTAACATATCTAAAGCCAGTCACTCTCTACCCTTGGACTTCACACACA